AAGTCAGCATTTGACTTGTTCTTAGAACATGCTCTTTGAAGTCCCATTCTCTGTGCTGTGTGGCAAGGCAGGCTCTCTTGTGCTGCCTTTCCCTATTAGAATGTAAGCTCTTTGAGGGCAGCAGCTATATCCTCAACAGTTAGCATGGTGCCTGGCACATGTTAAGTGCTTAATTACCCAATGAGTTTTTACTCACTTGTACATTGTCAGTAATACAGTGAACCTCAATATTTAGCAAACTGTTTAGTCAGTGGTGTGCCAGGTGTCATTTGGAAAATAGTATTTTTAGTTTTTTTTTCTCAGGTGTTTGTGCATTCTCATGTGTTATTAATCATCTGAATAGCTTTCGTTAGTGTTTCGATCTTCTGAATGGTTTTTCTTATTTATGTGTTGGGCTAAGTTGTAAGTCCAGAGATGAAACCATGCTCGTCTAATTAAGAAAGCACAGGAACTTGATCTTAATTATAAAATAAGTGCTCAGGATAAGGGTAAGTCTTGGGCCTTTCACTTATGTTATATCACTAATATTAGGTTAGTAATGGGGCTTGATGCCTGGATCTCGTTTTTGTCTTACTCACAAGTCCTATAATTTGAAGACAACAAAAATACTATTCAACCCGTTGCAGTTTTTGCTTAACAAATATATCAAGGATTTTCTCCCATGTGAAAATACACTGTACGTTATCCAAATCTACTCGTTTTAAGACCCCTTTTATACAGTGAAGAACTACCTGTATGGACTCACCAGATACTCAGAGTTTGGATGCAGACAATAAATTATTGATTATAATCTTGAAGTTTCAAAGTGGGAAACCAGCAAGGTTGGGGTGGTTACTCCATGTAAAATAATTTTCTATCCTCCTTTAAAAACTCAAGCAGATCAAAATGACATTGTCTATAATCCAACAGTCAAACTGAACTTTTAGCTTCTAGACTAAGGATGAAATCTGCAAGAGAGCACCAGAATATGTTGAAAACATAAATTTTCTCTTGAGAAGCATTAAAGATAAAAAGTTGCCATGGCATAGCTGTGAAATTGGAAATGATTTCTGTTTCTTAAGAGTTGAAACTGGTATATTGCTACTTTATTTCTGACTCAGATAAGAGACAGGAAAAAAAAACCATTAAAAATCACCATGCTGGCCTTGAAAAAAAGGATTATAGAAAGAAAAATGGGATAAACCAACCACTGATTAGGCCTGAAAAAGCTTTCTTACCATCAAAGAACATTAAATTTGGCTCAATGAAAAAATTTTGTCAGACAGTGGATTGAAATGGTACAGAGGCTGGAAAAGTGCAGGGCAGGAAATTACCAAGAAATTGTTAGAGGATGGCAGCTAAGTGGCACAGTGGGTAGAGCACCCGCCCTGGAATCAGGAGGACCTGAGTTCAAATTCAGCCTCAGACACCTGACATTAGCTGTGTGACCCTGGGCAAGTCACTTAATCCCATTTTTTTTTTTTTTTTTGCGAGGCCATGGGGTGCTCTATCCACTGTGCCACCTAGCTGCCCCTTAACCCCATTTCCTAACAAAAAAGAAAAAAAATCATTCAGAGGTTCCAAAAGCCTACAAAATGATGGGATGTAACGGATATTTGGGATTCATTTCTTTTCATCACATTGAGACTTCTTCCTGGAAGACCTAAACATGAGGAACACTTCTATTAAGGTTCTGCCAGTAGGGGAAGGGAAGTCCAAGCTTGCTGACCAGCCCCTGTAAAATGCTAGGGAGGGATGGTCCATCAGCAAATACAACCAAAAATCATTAACAGCCAAACTTTAGGTGAATTAAGCACAATTTTAATTAGCAACAGTTCTTAAAAGTATAAAACTTAGTTCCTGGGAAAACAGTGAGTAATAGACAAATCTGAAACCATATTTGAAATCAGCACCAAAAATACTATCAGCGTTATTTTTATGAATGTGACCAAAAATATTTTTGTTTTTAACCTGCACTAGTTTTTTTTAAAATAAGTATTTCTTTGTCTTTTATTTTGATAGAGATTAGACCTATGATTTCATTGGAATAGGAACTTCCAGATGAGAAAGTTCCTTCTGCCAATGAAGATGCACCCCTTCTTTGTAATTTAGGAAATTGCCTAGAGTACTGGGAGGATCCAGTGACTTGCCCTGGGTCCCCACAGCAAGCCACCCCAGTCTGTCCACTTTACCACAACTGCCTCTCAGTTGCCTTTATTTTAGCATTCCCTACATTTCCCACTGTATTTCTCCTCCCAACCATTCCAGAGAGCTGACTAGCATACAGTTTCTGATGTTATGTATGATGTCCCATGAGGAGGAGAGGTGCCTTTTCTTATGCCTCTTGGGGGCATCTGTGGCTCTCGCTTACCTGTGGCTGTGCTGTGCCCCTGCAGCAGTAACTTTCACATTAATCTTTAGACAGTATACTTGATGGAGTCAGTGATATAAGACTCAACAGAGAATTCTACAGTCATAAAAAGAAAAGCAAAATGAGCCTTATAGTCATGCTGTCTCATTCAGTAAATATATGAAACGATTTTTTTCATTGCCTGTAGCAAGTGGAGAAGCCAGCTAAGTTTTTATTTTGCTTTCGCAAAAAAGGAAGTGTTGAGGATAGAAAAGATTTCCATGAGGAAAGTATTTACACTTTCACAAATTCTGGGCTTTTAGGGAAAAGAGAAGCTTCAGTGGGGCTGAAGACCGAAAGGTGAAGGAGCCTTGAAGGCTGGGCATTTCTTAGTGAAGCCATACGTCTCACATGGAGAGAAAGGGGTGGTGGGAAATAGAGTTGTCTGAACAGGAGGCTGCAAGAAGACCTGACATACACATGGGAAGGCCGTGGTAAGTAGAGACCCAGCCTCGGAGGCCATGCAGGGCTCTGAGACAAGAGCTCGATCTGGAGTCAGAAGAGGCGTGTTATGTTGGACAGGTCATTTCACTGGTCTGAGCCAAGAGGATCAAATGAGATAATTGTGTCAGGTGTTGTGAAAGCCTCAAAGGGCTTTGTGAATGCCTGTTGCCATACTTCCTAGGAGTACTAAGGAGCTAGGGATTTCAGTAAATACTAATTAGGTGCCGGTTCTGTGTAAAGCACCGTACTAGGTGTTTACTCTAGCATTAAAGTCACCCAGAATTGGCACATTGATGCTAAAGGTCTCTAGATAGTCATAACATTCATAGATGTTCGTGTTCATCCTGGTGGGAGCATAGGCATTGATGATGGAGGCATGACGTTTTCATGCAAGTGGCAGTCACTGTATCACGAGCCTGTCGTTCACTCCTTTGGGCAGGCATACAAGCTTGTCGACTAGATTAGTTTTGATTGCAAAACCACCTCCAGCTGCACGGCGCCTTCACTGCTGCCACTCCAGAAGAACACGACCCAGCTCCAACCTGTGTAAGCTGGCCTTGTTTCACTGCTGTGTGGATACAATACCTGCTGAGTGCTCCTGCAACAGGAGCTGTTCATCTTTCAGGTCTACGGGATTTTGTGTTGGCATGTTCCATGAGTGGAATCATTTCTGCAGAAGTTTTTGTACCTTTTTTTTGTGTTTTGACCCCAGGATGGGATCACCACCTGTGGTAATCATGCCAGGTTGGGTAAGCAGACAATTTTTAGGACACCTTTACTCTTCCTCATCCTTCTTCACAACAGAAGGTGAGTAGTGCAGTTCTTTTTTAAAGGGAGGCAATTGAGGTTAAGTCTCTTGCCCAGAGTCACACAGCTAGTGAGTGTTACGTGTCTGAGGCCGGATTTGAACTCAGGTACTCCTGACTGCAGAGCCTGTGCTCTATCCACTGTGCCACCTAAGTGCCCCAGTAGTGTGGTTCTTAAAAGGCTGCGGAGACACCCAGGGGCTGCCAGATCTCACTGCTGCTTCCCAGTGAGAAAACGACCTTATGGCCTTGGCCACCTGTGTGCCGGATTGTGACTACAGCTTCCGGTGTATCCACACCTGCCCGTCACTACAGGACTTGGAGATAGGTAAAAACGGTAAAATGGAAATTGGATTTAAGTGAGGCAGAGTTGCGTGAAGTCGTCAGTCTCATTCTCTCTTCCAGAGTCGTCACAGTTCAGTGGCAGGACAGAGTTAAGATGACCGGTGATGGCCTGAGATGCAGTGGATGACCGTGGTGTCTTCAGCATCTAACCAAACTCTTAAGTGCTCCGTAGTGCCTGTAGGAGCAGCCTTCGTGGCCATTGGAACAATTATTTTCACCTGCCCATTTCACCGGGGAAGTCTTCACATGCTGGGGGTAGACACCCCCCTAACTCACCGATGGGTTTGAGACCTCTCTGTTACCCTCAGCCTGGGTTAGCCTGTCTGCTGAAACGGTTTACCAGGGTGTGGCCACTGTGCATGCCAAGGCTTCTTGGAGCCACACGTGAGAGGTGGAACGGGGGACACCAAAGCGGGGAGCATCCCTGAAAAGGGCTCGGTAGCCCTCCCCCCGGAGGTGCTAGTTTTCCCTGAACACGCCCTGCACTCCAGGTCGCTCTTAAAAACTTTGGAATTGATTGTGAGACACGGGAGACGCTGGCGCAGGACCACGCAGCATGGCGTGCCCTCATCAGAGAAAGTGTTGCGCTCCATGAGAAAAGCAGAACTGAAGTAGCTCAAAAGAAACACCAGGCGTGCATTTAGAAAATCCACCCTCAATGTTCATGTGGACCGTCTGTGCCCGACCTGTGGGAGAGCACTCCGAGCCCCTGCTGGTCTGATCAGCCACAGCTGGACACACCGTGACTTGACTTTGGCATAGGGACGTTGTTTCGGTCCTCTTTGAGAATGAAGGACACCTGCTGGGCGTTCAGTTTGATAAAACAGTATCTTGGAGTTAGACCCAGAAGGAAGCGTGGTGGTGGTCATCTGGTCCAGCTCCCTCAATTCACAGATGAATAAACTGAGGTTTGGAGGTGTTAAATGACTTAAGCTGACTAGGTGGCAGCTGAGGCACTGGCTCAGGGCAGGGCTCTCCCCTCTGCATTAGGCTGAATACACTCAGGCAGAGTAGAATGGGGCACAGGAGAGCCAGTGCTCTAACAGAGTTAGGAGGGAGAGAGCGCTTGTGGGCTGGAGATGGATGGGGAAAGGTTTCATGGACGTGGGTTTTGAAGAAACAGCATTTCAGTAAGGTAAGTGAATATGGGGATGAAGTCACAAAGGTGACAGGGATCAAAGCTGCAAAAGAGAGTGAAAACTTGAGACAGCCTCTCAGTTACGTCATGCTTAACAAAATAATGAAGAATATTTAAAAAAAAAAATGTTGAGAGGTTGCCATCAATTGATTATATATATGTACATATGCATATGTATGTGTGTGTATATATATATATACACACATACACGTATACATATGTACACACACACATATATATTATATGTATAGGCTTTAACAGCTCATACATCATGGTACAAAGAATAGAACACTTGGCTTTAGAGTCAAAAGACCTGTGTTCAGATCCTGCCTTGGCACTACCTGGGCAATTGTGAGCAGTCATTTGGTTGCTTCCACTTATATTTAATTGATTTCCACCCCTTCCACTTATTTAATGCCTATTCTATGCCAGGAATTGTGCTGGCCATACGGGATACAAAGAGAAAAATGAAACCATCTCTGCCCTTACAGAGCTTACATTCTAGACTGTGGGAAGCAACTTGAATGTTAATAAAAATTTACAAAGTGTATGCAAGTCACTTAACCTCTGTAGACCTCAGTTTCGTCATATGTAAAAGGAGATGATTGGACTAGGTCTCCTAAAACGCTAAGTCTATGAATGCCATCTGCATCCATGCAGGAAAGCTGCCCATCTATTTCAAATAATGGGTCTCTTGAAGTTCAGTGCTGAATCATTTAGTTTTGGTTAACATTTGTTCACAAAGTAAAAGTCAACTGACAAAACCAGCAGAAGGACCAAAGACAAGAATCACCATTATTCCAGTACATAGGTCCTCGACCACCTACCAGCATTTTCTTCTCATCTGGATAGGGGTACGTGGGCCAAAGAAGGATTATGGTGGGACAAAAGCTCATTTTACATTCCCTTAAACTAGAGCCAGATTATCACTAGGGTTTGCTTTGTTTTAAAGGCAATGCTCAGCTTGAGAGATCTTCACAGATCTTAAAATATGACTTTTATGAAAAGGAAATTTATGCAAACTTTTTTTATTCATTCTACCACCTAGCATGGTGCCTTGCACAAAATAACTGCTTAACCATTGTTAGCTGAGTTGTCTTGATAGTTGGAGAGGTGGCGAGGTCCTCAAGTGTGGCCCTTTGATTGAGTCCAAGTTGTACAGAACAAATCCTTTCACTAAGGGGATTTGTTCTGTGAAGCTTGGATTCCGCCACAGGTTCTCCACCCCTGGTTTAAGAATCATAAGCAGGAACCTGATTCTGATCAGGAAGAGTACCCCACAGGTCATCTCTCCTGAAGTATGAGTCTGAAATGAGATGTTGGTGGCAGTGATGATGAGATTGTATTTGGCTGCCTTCACTCTCCAGACATTCCACTCCCTTTCCCCTTTCATTCATCGTCTTATTTTCTCTCCTTCACTAGTAGCTATCCAGAGAAACTGATGGAGGAAAAAGTGTCCTTTCTAAAACTTCAGCTTAAGGGCGCAAGATGTCAGTTTTTGCTAATGAAAGCATATGTGAAGAAGTTGGCAGATTTTGCCTGGTTCGAGGTAACAGATCATTGAACTTAGTGTACTTCCACCTCGTTTCCCCTACTCTGAAATACTGCAATATTGATGTAATTACACGATTAAATGCAGTGTACAACAGGAACAAACACCATGGAATCTTATATTTTTGACCTCTCAGTTAATTATGTGATTGTGAAGATAAGATTTTGGGCACAGAATCAGAATTTTAGAATTGGAAGGGCCCTTAGAAGCTGATTGGCCCCATCCATACTTGTACGAGAACTTTCTCTAAAGCGTAACCAATAAGTCATCACTATTTTTGTTTGAAGACTCCTGATGAGGGACATCTCGCACCTTCTGAGACAAACCATTCTGCTTCTGGGGGCTCTCTTAGGAAGTTTTTCCTCACTTCCATGCAACATTGAGCCATTGCTTCTAACCCGGGGCTGAACTCTCCCGACTGGTGACTGAATGAGCAGCACCAGCTCACAAAGCCCAGCCAACCAGATGGTGCTTCACCTCTTGTCCACCCTGGTCATCTTCTTGCTGTGTGCCCTGCTGCTGCCCCCTCTAGACTATCAGACCTCTGGCTACCATGGCCTGGGGGACTTGATGCAGTCATCTTTGGGATTCTTCCCGGAGTTTATCTATCTTGATTGGTGAGCTCAAACTCGCATAGTGCACCATGTCAACCAGCCCTAGACTCTGAAATAATGGAATGTTCATCCAGACTCCACTTCAACCAAGCCACCTACTCCAGCCATCTCTTGACAAGATAGGTTGAAAACGTGCTGTTTCTTTACCAGTGAAAGGCTCCAGTGACTTCAAGAATGCCCCATGAAAAGAGGCAGATGCTGTTTCTGCCCAGGTATGTGAATGAGAGCAGAGGAAAGAACTACATATAGTACCAGTATGGGATGTGCTGGCTCTTACGGAAAGGGCACTGAAACCTAACTCGAGCCAGTCCTGTCTCCTGCAGAGAGTGCTGGGCAGGAACCCAGAACCATTGAACCCTATATGAGGGTTCCCAGTATGAGGAAGTCGAGTATGCCTTTAAGCCTGGCCTTAAAGATCTACTCAACAGCAAGGGAAGGTCATGCAAGGAAGTGATGGGACAAGACCAAAAACACACACAAAAAAGACTGACGTACCAAAGACATCAAGAGAAAAGGTCTGCCCACCATTTGTTTTTCCATTGCCCCTCGAGTCACTGTACCTGTAATTCTGTGAAGATGGTGATATTCCATGAATCAGCAGTCATATAGTATCACTAGGAACAGACTACTGGTGTTGAAAAGATGAGCATTTGCAAAGAGGATGCAGCTTGGGACCACTGCAGTCTATTGCGGTCTCATCATTCTTTTCAATTCTGGATCCAGCTAATGGTCTGCCAATACATAGTGTGTGCTCAAGGTGTGTACTTTGGACACATTCAAAGCATTGTTTATCTGATGCATGTTGCACAATAAGCATTTTTGGTCCACTTATTTTCTCCTGTGTACTATGGACACGTTTAGGGCCTTGAAGCAAGCAGTACAATACTACCCCAAAACAGATGCATTTGGAGACCATCACCATGCAGGTAAATCAGTCTTCTGCTTCATTTTTGTGCAGTATTTTTTCTGTGGGGTACTCTAATGTGGTGAAAAAAGTGTTGGACTTGTTTAAATTCCACCCCTGACATGCAGGAAAGTCACCTAAATCTCTAAACCTGTTTCTTCATCTGTGCAATGAAAATAACACCTGTGGTAGCTAACTCACAAAATGGTTGTAAGGATAAAGTGAAATCAAGCATGTGAAGTCCTTATAAACATGAAGGTATCGTGTCAGTCAGTGCCCATGATTATTTTCTTGACACTGGAGAATGTCTTCAGCAAACATGTCTTCCTATTTTATGCCTCACATGATAGTGATACTCAAGGATTCTGGAACAAATTTATCTCTGGTTGCAAAGATAACTGAAATGATTGCTGTTACATAAGCTGCAATTGTTTTTCTGGTGGTTTTATTACCTGTGCTTATTATCCTGAGCCCTGCAAATAAAGATGTCAAAGTGCCACACAAAATACTGGTCCTTGTTGTCTTTGGGCATACAAGGAAACTAACTCCATCCACTGCTGTAATTCTTCTCTTCTCTGAACCTTTCTTCCATTTTGATACAATTTCTTCATTCCTTCAACTTAAAGCATGAATATCAGTAGGACCTAGTTCAGTTCCTCTCAAACAAAGCACATCAGTGTGTTCATAACTATAAATTCAGCCCCTCCTATGATCCAGTGCTAAGCCTGCTCTTGGAATCTTACATATTTTGTACCGACTGATGTCAGTAGGCCATCTAAAACCATAGGACTTGAAGTACCCTTGTCTACTAGTCTGAAGAAATGGCAGTGGCTTACACAGGGATTTTGTTCTTATATATTTTACGAGTCACCACAGCCAAAGACTGATCACCAAGTAGTCAGCTGCTGGGGTGAATCCTCCCCATTTCATGTCCGTCCATCTACTGCTCAAATCCGTTCTAGTTTGCAGAGCAGCTTACACGCCATTGGCATTGCTTTTGAAAACTGGCATCACTTTAGTTCCCACGGAGGGAAACATTAAAGGAGGATGTTGTGCTTCGAGTAATTACCTGGGCTATGATTTTGGAGCATTTGTGCCCATGTGTGCTTTAGAGGAGAAGGGGAATGGTGGCATTGGGACTAGAGAAGTCTAACAGTTCCACAATTGAGACAGGAACTTTTAATTGCGATGAGGGAATTTAATTGTAATTACCTGAGATGTGAGATGGACAGGTGAAACATTTATTAAGCACGTAGTACATGTCAGCACTAAGCACTTATTACTTGTCAGGCACCATGTTAAGTGCTAGGGATATAAATACAAGCAAAGAGAAAGTCCTTACTCTCAAGGAGGTAACATTCTAATGGGGGAGGTCAGTACTTCAAAGGGAGCTGGGAAGGGTGAGTTACTCATTGGCACCAGGTGGAAATGGTCGGATGGAAAGCAAGAGCAATGTTTTTTTGTAACCTTTGGCTACAAAAGTGTATTTTTTCCAGTTACACTTGAATATCATTATAATAATTTGGAAGTTCACAGCATGTCAAACAAAGTGATAAAATGCTGCAGTATTAAAATTATCCCGAATGATTTGAAAAATTCTCCAGCTTCTTTCTGTGCTTATTTTGACTTTTGATTTACATTTGATTCTGGAGATGGACAAATAACCTCTGCAGAATTCCATTAAGCCAAGCTCTATTCTTTACGGCAAAGTGACATGAAGACATATGGCCTGGCTGCCTCATAAAATCTCCACAAAAATCTAGAAAGTGCAACAGACTGATTTTTGATTGGGAAATCCAATGAAAAGTCACAGTGAGTCATTTTACCAGCCCAGGAATGCTGAGGGAGACAGAAGAAGAAGCCTGTGATGTAGAACAGGGTCTGAAAAAGAGCCAAGACTGGGCACCAGGACACGAAGCCGCTAGAATAAAACTCAGGGGATCTCTGATGCATTGGCACAGGATGCAGGAATG